TAAAAATACATTTTCATAAAATACATTTCACAAATGCAAAACACCATTTGCAAATGTATAAGAGTGTACAACAAGTTTTGAATGTTTAAAACTTGTGAGTTCATCCTGAATGAGAATGTGCAAATCCTCTTTCACGTACGACTCCCCCTGAATACGTGTGTGTATTTTTGAGACTTTCCTGCTAGAGTCAGGACTACTCGTACCTTTCAGCCAATCAGATGAGAGCTGTATTCAATGAAACCAACTCTGCGCTTCTTTTGTGCAGACTGTTCCTCTCCAGCATGGCGAACGGAGAAAGCAGCAGTCGCACTTATTTATTTATTTATTTATTTATTTATTTATTTATTTATTTGACCATATCCTCACTCTTTTTATCCATTATTTTGCCGCAGCTCCGCTTTTCTTATTTATTGTCTCGCAGCCCTATGAGTAACATGTATCCTGCAGGGTAATCATAAGTATCATTCTGGCCATATCAGGTTTGCAGTGCCATTGTGGAACAGTGGTCAGCACGTTGGGTTACCATGATCTTAGACCTGTGTTTGAACCTCACCTAAGTTGAAATCTTTTTTTTTTTTTTTTCATTTTTATTGTTAAGACATATAAAACTGTAATGTTGTTGAACATTTGAAGTTCTAAAGCAGATGTTTTCTTGAAAAAGACGTGATAGTGTCATTAGAAACTGAATGAAACTGAAAAAAAAGATATTTACTCAGGTGAGGATCTTTATTTTTTATTTTTTATTTTAATAAATATAGTTGGCAAAAAATATATATATATAAATATGAATATTTTAAACCATATAACTACTAATAATAACATTATACAAAAGCAAGTTCTCATAAATAAACTGAAAAAGCCCCGAGATGGAGACATGGAGGAATATTTTTTGTAATATTTTATTCCTTCAAATCTTTTTTTCATTTGTAAAGATATTTGCGTATTGCTCCACATCCTGTGTGTAATAAGCAATGTTTAAGCGAGGCGCCCAACTGATGTGCTCTGCGTTGTACTTTAGACCTGCTCTCAGCAGTCTCTTTTGTGCAGTCTATTTTAGTTCCTCAAAATAGCAACTTACCAGCAATGCACACATTAACACACCTCCTTCTTTAGACCAGAACGCCTATGGGTACACAAATGAGTGCAAATGCATTTACTATTTAAAAAGCGTGGTGGAAAAACGTCAAAACAACGCTTGCATCGAGCTGAATCTAGCAAATACCATTTGCATCATGCCTTGCACCTCATTGCATCGGGTGTATGATAGGGCCCCATATGTATGTGTGTAATTTTGTTAATAAATCTGTTATTCCACATTTTCTTCCCTATCTCACATGATAGAATAACACACAAGACTACAGTTTAGACAATTTTTGTGAACCCCCACAGAAAAAAAAAAGCTTAAAATAGCATAAGGGTGGATAAATAATGGCAAAATTGTCATTTTTGAGTGATCTATCCAATTAATTGCTGTGAGCCTCATAGCAGAGGGTTTAAAACCTCTTTGGTCAGCAGAAAACTGTAAGACGAGATCTGAAGGTCTGCTAATATGGAAAGTGATATCAGCTTTATGCAAGCTTTATCATAGAAATGAGCAGTGGATATAATTATGAAATATGCCACATATAGCACAGTCATTTCAGCTAAAGAAAAATAAGATAAAACTTTTTAATCTCGTCTTTTCTTCACTTCAAAACTCTGTTAGCATACAGCAATTATGTTTATATATAGTTTAAATACTGTTACAGTTGTTTGTGCTGTTATGTGTTACAGTAAACAATAAACAACAGATGTAGCTCAGTGAAATCTAAATTATTATACTATAAATATATATATATATATATATATATATATATATATATATATATATATATATATATATATATATATATATATATATATATATATATATATATATATATATATATTTATATATATATATCACATCACATTTATTATGAATATGTTAGGTATAATGCTATCAAAACTAAGACGATTAATTTCAGGAATAAATTAGGCATCAAGGTTTTAATGATGATGGTGCATGTTACAAGTCATTTTAAAGAACTTTTAATTACATAAGTAACATTAAAATCACACATTTTTCAAGACTTGTTTCTACATTTGTTGTGTTTAGAAAGAGTTTAAAGTCTGATGTTGTGCAAGCATGCAAACACTGATGTGAAAGCACTGTTTGCCGCTGTCACCTGTGCTGTCAGGCTTGTGTTATATGATAAACTAGGGTGACTAGATTCCCCTGTTTTCCAGAGACAGTCACAATTTTTGATGTCCTGTCCCTGCTGAACATGTTTCTATAAATTCCCTCATTTAACAGCATGTTCCAAACCAGTGGTGTCCAAAATGCCACTGTTCTGTAGAATTTAGCTCTAGCTTCCCTCAACACACTTGTCTGGAAGTTACTAGTAAGTCTAGTGAGACCTTAATTAGCTGGTCCAGGTGTGTTTAATCATGGTAGATGCTAAAATGTGCCAGACAATGGCCCTCCAGGAGTAAGACTGGACACCTCTCTTCTAAACTGAACAAAATGCACTGCAAGAAGCCCAATCAAGAGCTGGCACTGGTGAAATGTACAGTTCATGTGCAAGGTCCTGTGTAGTGCTTTGAAATGTGGATTTTTATTAGATTTTTTACGTAATCTCAACCCAAACATGGAGATTGTGGGACATAGTGTAGCCCCCATCCCCTTTTTAAAAAAACTGCCAATAGCATTATGTTTTATCACAGCTTTGCCCGTGAGCATGGTTGAGATAAAGCACATCAAATGCAAAGCATGTTGAAGGGGGCGGGCTATGTCAGATACTAGAGAGCATTTGATTGGCCAAGATTTGTTGAGAAACTGAATATAAAGTGACATGAAAGAAAAATTGATCCATTTATGCAGAAGTGACAAACTACAAGCTTTAAATGTTTATAACTATTTTATATATTCTAAATACAAATGTTGCCACTGTTTTGCTGCACACTAGCTCATAGATATCATAAAAAACTAACAACACTGATACTAACATTAAAGTAATTTAATTTAATGGGACCTTTAATATAGAGTAAAACAGTTTGTATGATACAGCATGACTTTTTGTAATATATACTACATGTCTGTGTATTTTGTTTGTAATAATACAAGCATTGATGTGGTCATGCTTACGTTGTACAAAGCATTTTTACAGTGTTACCTGAATGAAGTAAGCCCATTGTAAGTTGTAACTGTTAAGTTGACTTTACATATTTGTTTGCAATTATGCACACACTTCATTGACTTGTGTATAACACGTGTCATCTTTTGAATTAAGCAGCATTAAACAATGAGCTCACTTCTGAGAATTCTGCAATGTATTCATTCTATTTGGATTACTAAACCAGAGAACCTTTGTTTTCAAAATGGTCCATTTAAAACTGTTTCGGAGATTCTGAAGTTTGTTTGTTTTTTCTGACATGTTTGCCAGTCATGTTGACAAAAACACAGAAAGAAAAGACATTCCTTGTCTGTTTTACTAAAACATGTAGTTTTGTTATAATTATGAATATATATGAATTCTGTATTTATTTTATACACTGTACACTGCATTTTAAGTCAGTGTAACCTAGTTAACCTTGAATGTAACTTTGCATTGAAAGGTTTTTTAGAGAAACGTTCATGTGGCCGAATATACATAGAAGCTCTCAATAAATGTGTTAGTGACAGTGGCATGCATTGTTGCGCTGCTTAACCTGAATGTCCAGCTTATCTTAAGCAATAAATGGCAACTGAGTTCATTAATCCATTCTTACTCACACGTGTAACATTAAGGTTAAATGATGTTGTTGACGGTGGTGCAGCAAACCTCTTGTCCTGACAATAGCTTGTCAAGTCATTATGACTCAAGGAAAAGGAAAGTCAGGTTGAGAGTGAATTCCCTCTCAGAATAACCTTGGCGTCACACTGAGGCTGGAGTGTGGCTGATTGCTTGCGGAAAACACTCATCAGCTGGAAGAGTGACCTTGGTGTGGCGTAATGACACTTTGTGAAGAGGCAGGTGGTGTGAAGAGGACTCACTTTAGACAGCTGCTTGCTCGACTCCCGCTGAGACATTCTTACGATTATCTGTGGAACCCGTCTCATGCGTTGCTTGCGGCCAACATGGGCTACGGTGGAAAGAATTTAAGTTTCATGCGGACAAGACAGCGTCCGATTCCAATAGCGCAGGAGCTGTGAAGTGTTCATTTACAGTGATGCATGTCTCAGGTCAACAGAGTCTTTGTGATTACCTTTAATGGAGTTCTCGGATTCTCACATCCCGTCTGAAAGTGCAGACTTCATCAGGGTTAATCGCGCACGCGGCTCACCTGCCAAAGATCACAATAATGAGTTTGATTTTCCATTAGCCGAGAGCACTTTAGCCTTCTTCTCATGCGCACCTGATTTGATTCCCCCTCACAATTAATTCCCTGGAAATGGACATCTCTCCTCAGAAGAAAACATTTTGTTCCTCTGAAGATGGTGTCCTTTTGTCATGTACAGGGTGTGCTGTAAATAAATCCAGTTCATTTAAATATTGGGTCAAGAAGAAGCATTTGAACTTTGATATTTTGAAAAGGAAATTGCAAGAAATTACTCTAACAATCAGGCTTTAGTGGATTGGAAGCTTCATTGTTGTGAAAAAGTTAAAGATAAGTATTTTGCACATTCCTTCTTTCTTTTTGTTTGTTTGTTTATTTGTTTGCTCGCTTACTCATATATTATTTACCTACACATTTATTTACTTATTATTTCTGTGTTTACATATAATGCTACCACAGCATGTCTGCAACATATGAAATAACACAAACAATTCCTGATTGTGAGCTGCTGTGATATTGACCAACACTTGCCTGTTTGATTGTGGATGAGGTTTGTTTGTTGCTAGTCCATTTGCACTCATGCCCTTCTCCTCACCTGCTGCCCTCCTTCTCTTTGATGCTCACTTCCTTCCTTTTCTGTGGTCTCCTCCTTCTCCCCGCAGGCATTACCATCGCCAGCGCTCTCATTGATGCGTCTCAGCAGAGGCCCGGCGACTTCAAAGACAAGGCCTTGAGTCTAAAGAGCCGCAAACAGCAGCATGCGGTGCACCAGGGAACCTGCGTTTGAAGCAACCGACTGACCCTCTCTTTCTCATCTTTCTGTTCTTCTCCTTATCGTCCAGCAGATGATGAGAGAGCAGCTCTTGAAGTGTAAATGACAAAGGAGGGTCAAGACATTAGTAGTCGTGTGTGGCTCCTCCTGAATTGCACGCTCCATAGTGGAGCTCCTATTCCCTCAGTATTGCTTGAACCTCTGTGGAGGACATCTGCATTTTGATTGCACACATTGGCTTCCTGTTTTTCCGACAGCTGTTTCTCAAAAAGGGAGGGAGTGTGTGAATAAAACTCACTCCAACCCAAAGTAGGAACAGGTTCCATGCCAGAATTAATCATGCGGTCACGTATGTCGAGGTACTGAAAATAAACCTGGCTTTATACTTTCGAGGTGACAGTGAGTGATATGTCTGTTGATGACTCGGTATTTACTGTTAACAATAGTCAGTGATGATTGTATGGTAAGCTTAATTTTAGAAGTCAGAATTGGATTTGTCTTGGAGAACTATCCCACCAAGCAATTTTGTGTTTAAAAGACAATTAATAGACATTCAAACATAGATATGTTGATTAAGATAAGGCTATATTTCAGCTGTCAGTGAAAATCTAGTATGGCCCATTTTCACTGAGCGGTACAGTCGGCATGGGTCACCCTTATCAGGCAAATGGTACTAAATTTCAGTCAACATCATTCTCACTCAAGGAAATGTCTACAGTAAAGCTGTATGGGTCGTTCACATATCATATGAGAAGCACTTCTCACAGAACAGATGCTTTATACACATAAATACTTGTTAAACATGATTTGATTATAACTGCAGATCAATAATCGTGCAAAATAGCCTTCTGCAACGTCTGCGGTTATATAAAACAAATAAATACAACACATATAGCGCATACAGACCTTACAGTCTCTGATATGTTACCAATTACAGAAAAAAAACTACACACAGCATACGTTTAGTCCTTATTTAGGTTCTAAAACAACATGCAACATATAGCTCACAGTCAGTGCAAACCTCTCATCTGTATCTTTGATCTTCACCAGCACATGTAACTACTTGTTAAAAAGTAATTTCATCATTCCGAGTTCATAATAGTCCAAAAAGTGATAATAATAGATATACAGGGCAGTTTGTTTGTTTTCATGTTTTAGGTTGCTGAAAAAATCTTTTTCTCCTTTGTTTTTTCACGCTTCACTCTCACGTTTGTTCATTTCTGAAACAAACACGTTATTATCATTAGCTCAAGAAGTTTGTTATTTCAAATATAGACATGTGCATGTAGACGTCACTGCACGTGGGCTCGCTGAATAAAGTGAATCCGCTCGTGCTTTAGACGGCCTATTAAACCAACAAAAGGACACTGCAGATTTTGTTCTTGGCTTTGTGGCTGTACATCAAGATGACAACAAGGTTTGTTTGAGCTCAGGTCGACCATGGTTTGTTATTATATGTATATAGCATTATGATTAAATGTCTCAACTGTATTTTATTTATTCATTCTTTTTTTTTTATTGGCTTAGCCCCTTTATTAATCAGCAGTCGCCATAGCGAAATTAACTTCCAACTTATCCAGCACATGTTTTACGCAGTGGATGCCCTTCAAGCCTCATCCCATCACTGGGAAAAGCTGTGTATTTAAAAATAGCAATTCCTTTGTTTTCATTCTCCCAGCTTGTGCAGGAGCTAGTAACGTATCCCTGTAAACCATTAGCGTTCAACTGTGTGTCTAGCTCGGTCTTTTGGTACCCTTTTGTCGTGTAAGGTAGCCTTTAGAAAGGGTACTCAAAAATTGTTTCGCTTTCTGGTACCTTTTGACAGTGGAAACAGCCATAAAATTGTACCATACCATACAACTCAGTGAAAACGGGCCAGTAGATGCCCAACAATAGTCCAGAATAGTAAAATAATATAACTTTTATTCAACTGAAAGCTTCATCACAAATATTAAATTTACACTGGATTTCGTTTCTCTTCAATGCTTGATCAACATCTAGAAAAAATAAAAAAATAAATCGGAAATCGATTACAGGAATGTCTTGTATATTAAATTTTTTGACACATTTTAATGCCAGTGTTAGATGTCAAGGTAGTTAACTGACATCAAAACAATTAGCATTTTTTGTATGTTTTTTGACATCACAGTGCCTACTGTGTAGACGTCTTTTTAACATCAGGCTATAAGATACATTAGGGTATATTTACACAACAAAATTACATTTTCTTTTGCTTTTTTGAAAAGGTTAAATACAAAACAAAATGCCGGTTTATGCATTCCAGGACTGTAGTTGTTGATGTCACTTTGTAAATAAAACTATACAAGCAGTCTACCATTATTGTTTTAGTTGTCAAGTACTCATCCATGTCTATTGACCTTATTCTAAAATAAGGAAGTGCGTCTGTTTTTGCGATTGTCTTAGAACTTCCGTTTCAGTCGCCTATGGGAGAAATGACAAGGAACAATAAACGGCAAAAAACGTTTATTCAAACTACTTGCTGTACAAACAAATGTTTGCATGACTATACAGACCAAGTAGAGTAATATAACAAGGAAATATCAGGTTGCAACATCAAACAGCGAAACGAGCAGTTTTTAATGTCTAAAAATGAATGGAAGTGAATGAGACCGGAAGTCTCATGCCAAAAAGATTCAAATGGCAGCGGCCGCTCGTCTGCGGAGAATAAGGTCAATAGACTGAATGTGTAATATGCATGTGCATGAGGTCACTGTTTACATGATTTTATAGTTTACAATCATGGAAATCACCTTAAAAATTGCGCACTTTAAAACACGTCTGCTAAAGTTATGAAATTAAGGAACAGGCTAAATGTATAAAACCTCTTTAGTTTTTAGTTGAAAATGGTGTTGTGTAAACGTACCCTTAGTGCTCAAACTAGACAAGCACTTAAAAGCTTGTAGTCTATAGGTGCATCCCAAATCGCATACTTATGCACTGTTCTATGCCATTTTGTAGTATAAATAGTGTAAGTAGTGTATTCACATACACACAAAAAAAAAAAAAAAAAAAACCCTAAAAGAATAAGTGCACTTTAAATACTCATCCAACCGTTAAAATGAAGTGTGGAATGTCGGACACTGTGCACTCAACAGACGATGCTTTGCTCACGTAGTCTAAGGGGCGTAGTTTTCGGGCACTGGTGTTGGATTACTTTATTTATTTTAGATTGTAAAAGCAGTATTCTCCTACAAGAGGGATTATACCACCTTCTGATGGTGAATGGGATTATACTAATGCAGCAGGTATTTGGTAGTTTTGGTCAATAATTTTGCTAATTTGGCATCTGTCATCCGTCATCTGGGAAATGGTTTGAATTTCCTCTTAGTGAAAACTTTTAGTGTTCCTCTTGGGATGTCACTACATTCACATACTATGCTGTTAAGTGTGTAAGTGCATAGGTACACGGATAAGAGTATAGTGTATAGTGTGCCATCTGGGATGCAGCTTGTGTCTTTTGGCTTTGAGGTTGTTGTTGAAGAACAAAATTGTGTTACAATTTACTCTAAAACTATTTTCTTTCTGAAATGTCCCTTAAATTTTATACATAATTCCAACTTTAGGAATTAAAGTGTAAAAGGAAAATGAAAGGTCAGGTGACACTGGAGATTCAATAATGGCTGCTAAAATTCAACTTAAATCACATAAATATGTTACATTTTTATTTACATTTTAGAAAAGCTAGATTAATAAAATGGAAAATTATTTTAAATCAAATCATAATTTTCATGAATGTACTATATTTATCAATACGTCTTTAATTAAGATAAAATGCTATAAATCAGAATCTTACCAACATTTACAGTTAACAACATTTTTATCCAAATGCCACAAATTAAACATTAAAATAGTTTTGTTTTGTTTTTTGTTTTGTAAAGCAGTTTTTAATTTTGCAGACTGGTTTGGTATTCAAATATCTTACAATTGACAGATACTGTATGTGCAAGTGAAGAGCTTTCCACAAATGAAGGGGATATACAGTACATTATAATGGTTCTGAGGGGAAAATCACAGGCTTGAATGTCTATAGTGTTTATGTCTAGTAGTCATCAAACTAAATTTACCCTTAGTATCTGTTCATGTCTGTTTAACATGTTGATAAAAAATGTGTTGCCTGTATATCTATAATTGTAAATTGTCATATTGTTTTAATGTAAAACTGTATATTGTTATGTCTTCTAAAATTCCACAAATCTCACATGCACGTTTCATTGCATTTTCTTAGTGTTTCCAAAACCAACATGTGTTGCACTTAAACCCTTTATTATATTGAATCCTTTATAATAATCATTTTGTCTGGTCATATTTGTGTGAATCGTGCTTTAATAAACCAGCCTAAAGGTATAGTTCTCCCAGAAATATAAATCATGTCATCATTTACTCGTCCTCCTGTCAGTCTAATCCTGTATGCAATTTACTTCTGGACAAAGGGGGGGGGGGGATCTATATTTTGGTAATTATAATTCCAGTGCCCATTGACTTCCATTGTTTTGACTTTTTATATTCATATATTGACTTTTAGACTGATGACAGAGTTTGTTTCTTTGGGAGAACAATGAAATGGGAGCCACATACAGTATTCTAATTTCCAGAGACTTTTTTTGGGTTTTCATAACAAATACTGATTCAACTTTATCTGAAAATATCTGCAAACTCTTGAATGTGTGTGTATAATATCTAACAAATATATCACTTGTTTGCACTGTTACACAGGTCACTAATGTATAATATTACTGCACTACAGAAACAATGTCATCGTGTTGTCTCTTGTCTCTCTAAGGCATTTGTTTTTGTTTATTTATTCTCATTTGCATACTTGAGTCGTAACCTTTTGTAAAGTGTTTAAATGCTAAGGAGTTTTCTGGTCTTACAGCGTTATGTAATAATTTACTCTCTACAAAATCAAATGAAATGCCGCCAAAGAACGTTCATGTTTATGCAAAAATAAACATTTTGATAAATCTGTTAAATGCTTTAGTTTTCTTTTTGAAACTCTGTGATCTACCGAGTCATACAGTAAAAACTGTTTGGGCTGAGTGACATTTTCTAACAATAAAGTACAAAAAAACATAATGAAAACTAAAAAAATCTGAAGATATACATTTCATTATGTCTTTGAATTAGCTGCTTTCATGCTTAGTTTTTCTATTGATGAATCATCTATTATATCTGTCCTTATAATGTTTGTTTATTTGACTCACCAAGTGAGACTGGAAAGCTGTTCAAATATCATCTACAAAAACACTCAATGGTGTAACAAACTAGTTGCTATATTGATTTCATCTTTTTTTCCCCACATTATTCACCTATGTTAGTCATTAGGTGCTGTTGCCACAGGTGTTACATGGAACAGGTTATGTAGAATCATACACAACAGATTTGCATGACTTTTCAGTGAGTTTGCAGTAAGATTGTAGACAGCTGTTTGAATCTTCTACTTGCTGATGTTGTTATTGGATCAATCTGGATCAAACCCAGCAAGTTAAATACCAGAGAAACTTTCAGTTTGACTTTTCTGAACATTTTTCAACTACCTGTCACTTTTGCTGTGTGTTACGCTTTTGACGATGCTAAACATTAATAAATGTGTGGATTAGAGATGCACAATGTATCAGCTGCCAATATTGGATTCATATTAAACTATCTGCACATCTCCAATAATATGAAAAAGATAGATACTAAAGGTTAATTACAAGAAGGCAATGAGCTGCATGTCTTTTTAAAAGAATCCAACGATTTTCTTAGAGCAAAATCATTAAATATTTGCAAAAACATATATAATATGTAAAACCAGTAATGCAGCTGGTGTGCACCACTCTCAAACATTGGCAGAACACCATTAGGCTAAAACATCTTGAACAATAACTGACTAATGAGTCAGTATTTTTCAGGAGCAGCAAAATGTATAATATGCA